AGGTAAGAGCCGAAACCGGTTTGGCTCAGTGGATAGAGCGTCGGCCTGCGGACTGAAAGGTCCTGGGTTCGATTCCGGGCAAGGGCATGTACCTGGGGTGCGGGCACATCCCCAGTGGGGGGGGTGCGGGAGGCAGCTGGTCGATGTTTCTCTCTCGTCGATGTTTCTAGCTCTCTATCTCTCTCCCTTCCTCTCTGTAAAAACTCAATAAAATATATTTAAAAAAAAAAAAAAACACAGAGGACGACGACTAACCCCTAGAAGTCGGTGTTCAGTGTGTGGAGAGTGACGCTGAGTACCTGGACAGAACTGGAAGAGTGAGGCGTGTGAGATATTTGCTGGGGCCCTGCGGGGAGAGCACATGGGAAGCATGGGCCTCTCCCCCCGACTCCCACCGAATGCCACAGCCCTTTATCTGGACCAGCCCTCAGCTCCCTCACCTTCCAAATACTCCATGGCCTATTTAGGAATGGCCTATTAGACCTTGTTTTAACCCCTTCCCCAACTTTTTTTGTTAAAAACGTTTCTTTTTCAGACTAATTTTTTTATTTTGGTTCTACATAGTATTTTTGATGCTGGTTATGAAAACAGTTTGTAACTCGTCTTCCTATAAACCATATTTTTTTACCATATTTTCTTAGTATAGTCGTCGACGACTGAAAAAGAACATTTTGTGAAAACGAGTATACACGTTTCTGCCGGGGAAGGGGTTAAAGCATAAGAGCGGCACTGGCTGAAGAGACAAGATAACTTGTATGCAAAGCCGGACCCTGCCACCTACCATACATGCGGACTTGAGCAAGTCACTTCATTCACTTCTCTAGTCTGTGATTTGCCCATCAGTAAAGTGCAATCACAGCTCTTGCCACCTCACCAGATGGAGACCAGGATCAACCTAATGAGGTGTGGGCATTTAAAATGCTACAGGAACACACAGAATGATTCTTCCACAGGCTGCCCTCCAGGACAAGACAGCCCCAGCTCCTCCCATCCCCCAATGCCCAGGGCTCCTTCCTCTGCTGGCTGACACTTTCCTCCAGGCTGGAGCTGCTCTTAGAAGTGACTGCACTGCAGCTGTAGCTGTAGCTGTAGCTGGCCTTGTGTCTGATTTCTATTCACATGGCAAGCAAGCCTCCTTTTTTTCAAAGTTATGTAACACATTTTCCTCCATCCCTGGCTGTCAACAACAGCTTTCCCCCACCTGCCCCAGGGAACAGCACTGCTTGGGAGGCTGCAAAGATCCCTGATGGGGGTAGGGTCAGAAAGGAGCAGAGGGAAACCCTGAGGGGCGTTTTCCTCCTTGGACCAGTCTGTCCTAGGAGCCAGATGCACTACACATGGCCCCTCCTGGTGACCCGGAAGCCTGACAAGAAGGTGCTTGAAGACCTGGGCACACTAAATCCCTCAATTCCAGAGTATGTGGCTGGAGCAGCCAAGCTGGAGCGAGCTCTTCCCTGCAGCCCCAGCCAAATGGGGCTCTTCTCTGAAGGCACAAAAGAGGTACATATTAGACAAGATCAGAGAGAGTGGTTCCCTCTGTCAGCATCCACATTTGCTTTCTACAATCACCTCCTTCCTCTGTTCCCGCTCCTAATATCTTCCCCTCCAGCAGGACAGCACCTACTGATACTCCTGTCTGCCTTAGAGTGCAGTCCAAGCCCCTTGGCCTGCCTTTCCAAGTCTTTCATCTTTCATTGTCCCTCCTTACTTCTCCACATCTCACGTCCATCTCCTCTAGGCTCAGGCTTGCCTGCCTCTCCAATGTGCTGTTTTTTCCTGGCACCTGCATCTAAAGCATCCTCCTCTACCACCCACCCTTCTCACTTCTACTTCTAGATGCCTCGTTCTTCCCGGTCCCCTTCCCAATGTGGAATACTTTCCTGCTTCTGGAGCACAGGGTTTAATTGGCTTCCTCCCATATATCTCCTAGCAGCAACCTTA